AACCGGCCCCCGGCCCCTCGCCTCCCGTTTCTGCGCGGTACCGGCCGCCTCTTTCTTCACGTGACGTGCCACTATATTTTGCATTTATACGTTGGTATTACACTCTTGTAGACTTGCTCTTTTATAAATGACGTGTAAATAGTTTTCCACTCCCCTCCCTGCTCCAATGCCTATGGTCTCTCTCTCTTTTGTTTTTGGTCCAGTACATTTTGTTTCTGTATATGACTTTGTTTTTTGAATCCACATCTCTCCTCCGTAGTATTTTTTAAATAAATGTTTACATTAGAATGTGCGTGGATTGCTTTGGTGTGTAACTCTTTCCTGTTGTCCAGAGCTGTGGTGTGGGTCGGAGGGAAGGCGCCCATGCTTTCTGGAGGGGCTGGAGGCCCGTGTTGGGTTTTATGGGGCAGAACAATGGCAGGATCCTGCGGGCCTGTGTCACCTCGGCCGGCCGTTCTCAGGCACTTGCCCTGCCCTCGTCTCCAGCCCTTCCTGTGCCCTTGACACTTCCTTGCCAGCAGCCCAGCTCTTGTCAGTGGTGCTCTTAGTAGGGCCACTGCTGACTGGCATGGCAAGGAAGACCAGCCCGAGGGCTGAGCCCACTGTCAGGCCGCCCAGCATCATGGAAATGGGAGGTGTCCTGTCCCAGTTCCTCGCTGGCCTGAGAGAGTTCATCCCTCCGCTGGTGCGCTCGCCCTTCGCCTTCGAACTCACTTTCTGCTGCTGCCCTCAGCCCGAGACACCCCTCACTGTGTTCACCTCCCCAGGCGCCACTGCTCTGTGTGTATGAGGACGAGAGCGGGGCCTGCTGCCTGCGAGGGCGTGGAAACACCACCCTGGGCCCCGCCTCGGCCTCTCCCAGCCCCCAGCCAGGGGCTGACTTCTCATCTGGGTCTCCATCTGACACCTGCTGACAGCCAGGAGGTGGAGTCGGGGAAGTGAGCGGCGCCTGTGGTAATGATACTTATTAAGCTGGCAGGCTTGTCAGGGGTGCGGGTCCTGCCCATCAGGCACAGTGATGCGTGAGCCTCTTCCCCGAGGCCTTGGGCGCAGGACGGGTGCGCGCCACGTGGTGGCGGTGGAGACGCTGCCTGGGACGGGTTTGCAGGAAGCCGCCTGCGCCAGCCAAGGTCAGGTCTCCCCTCACTTCACTGAGAAGGCCAAGTCCAGGCTGCAGAGTCTGTAGTGGTTGAACCATCACTGGGCACCCGCTCGCCTAAGTCCAGCTTCTCCACGGGCATGAAGGTCGGCTCTCAGGTCTGAGAGAGGGTGGAATGGTTATAACGACAGCCTCTGTGTCGGACAGTGTGTTGTAAGACCCTTCTCCCAAGTAAGATTTTTCCTTGTAATCACCTGAACTTAAACTTGGGTCTGAACTTGTTTGGGCCACAGAACCCCTTGAGAGCTTAATGCACTCTGCCCCTAGCCCCAGAGAAACGCGCATGTGTGCGCACACAACAGTTCTCAGGTAATTGTGACTTCTGCCCTCGAAGTCCAGGACCAAGGAGGACCCAAGGGCCAACCCTGCCCATAGGGCCAACGCTGTTGCCATTGTTACCACAAAATAGCCTAAAGCGTCAATTTTAGGATAGGCACATGGTGTGTTCATGTAGCGGAATGTTCTGGAACAATGAGAATGAACTCGGCACTGCCACACCACAAACGTAATGTTGAGCAGAGGTAGCCACACGAACTGGTGATGCCGGAGCTTTCATCGCCTCAGTGGGCGCGGCTCATCTGCGGGATGGTGTTTGGTGTCAGGGGGGCGGGTAACCCGAGGGAGGAGCCATGCCAGGCTCCAGCACAGGCAGCTCCGGAGCAGACGGTGCTCTGCTTAGAGCGGTGCTGGCCGCCGGCTGTCCCCGGTGAAAGTCCCTCAAGCCGGACGCTGCCAACTGGAGCACATTCTCCAGGTGCCGTGTTTCAGTGGGAGCTTTCTCAACATCCCCGCTCGCGGGAGCACCCCAGCTGCTAACAGATGTGCCCTCCGTCACCACGTGCAGCCCTCACGCCCGTGTCCTATGAGGAGGCCCTGTGGCTGGGCTCCTTTGAGGGTGAGGAAGCTGTGGCTCAGGGATGTGAGGTGCTCCCCAGGGGTCACCCAGCACGTGCGGCCTAGCGCTGCTGTCAGGACTGACGTTCGGAAGGTGCAGGTGGCCACAGCACAACCCGCGGAGACCTGTGCTCCGGGGCCAGCTCCTCCCTCCCTCCCCCCTCCCTCCCGCATGGCAGAGAAGCAGGTTAAGAATTAGCTCCCTAATTCTTAGGGAGTTCTTGGGTTTCAAGGTATTTTATAGGAGCCGTTCCCAAATCGGGTGCTCTGGGAGGTCAGTTTCCAGGTGTCTTGGTGCAGAAGACACTCGGTGGGACAAGTCTGACCAACCACTGTCCCTGTCCGAGCCCGCCCTCATCCCTGGTGCTCACCCAGCCTCGTGGGCGGGGCTCCAGCTCCCGCTCAAGGGTCACAGCGCCCCATCTGGGTTGGGTCTTCGGTGGAACGTGTCACGCAGCGTCTTAGGCACTGGGGCCAGTTGGGACGCGGCAGCCCCTTGTCCACTTCAGCAGCTGCCTGATGGCTTCCTGCCCCCACGAGCCTCTTCTCTTAAGCAGTTTAATTAATATTTCAAACACACGGGAAAACATAGCGGAAATATTCCCCATCCAGGTTTGTAGCTAAATAAAGACCTTTAGACCTACACCCAAGATGAAGACTTCTTTGTGTTTTAAGTAAACTTGGTGAGCGATGCCAACTGCTCGGGGAGCCTGCGCTGGAGGGGAGCTCGAGCCTCTCCGTCTGGAGAGGAACCTTCCCCGCCGAGGAGAGTGGCGGGCGCGGGAGTAGCGTGGGAGGCCCCAAACCTCCACAGAGCCCGTGGGGTCGAGTGGGCTGGGTTAGGAGATTTGGCCACACCGATCGGGAGTGGATTTAACGGGCAAGTGCCCTTAGCAGCTGAGTTGTGCTGATTTTCAGGGTGATTGGGCGTGGATGTCCTGGCACCTGGGAAGGGTAGCCCTGTTGTTGATTCCTGTTTAAGGTGGGAGCCTAGTGACAGGACACCCATAGCCTTGAAGGCCACCTCCCCTTCACCTCTGCTCTCATCGAGGTTCCTTTAACCTGACCCCACAGGATTGCCGCAGCCTTGGTGACGCAACGGCTAATGGCTCTTTTAAGGTGCGCGTTTTCAGGTTCTCAGGTGGGAATCAGCTAGTGAGGGCCGGCCAGGGGCCCTTGGTCTGTCTCACCTGGTTCCTGTGTGTGTGTGAGCTAATGGTGATCCAGGTTGCTGTCTCCCACCCCGCCCTGGCCAGGTGGGAACACGCACCCACGGTGAGACGGCTGGGGGCATGGTGCTTGTCCCATCTGCCACCCTCGGACAGGATCTGAGCGCCGGAGCTGTCCTCTATGGACACGCGGCTTGTTTTGAGGTTTGCCCTCCGTGGCTCGAGGGCTGAGTGTCTGCCTCTGTTACCAGCAGACAGAGATCCGGGCGGCGGGGGTGGGGGGTGTGTGTTCCATCCCCATCGGACCATTACGTTAGCAGGAGCCCTGGACTGCCCCCTCCGTGGACGTGGTGGAGGTGAGAGGACCATGTGCCTCCCACGCTCGGGCTGGTCCCTCAGCCGCCTGGAGCCCCAGGGCACCTGGAGGAGCATGAGCGCCAGGGGGAGGCCGCTGGCCGCAGCCTAGCCCATCCCATTGTACCACCCAGTTCGCCCCACTCGGCGCTGGTGGCTCAGAGCTAAGCACCCCCCAGTGAAGCGGCTCTCTAGCTGCCAAGGATGGAGCGCGGCTGCTGGGGAATGCCAGTCACTAATAGACTGGAAAACAGTGAAATGCGCCACGGTGCCAAGCTGGGTCCAGCCCAGCATGGTCCTAAAAGGCCAATAAAAATCCACCAATTAATTGTGACAGCTCAATGGAAAATTATTCAGTTGCGAACAGGGGCAAGCAGCAGCTCCCAAGGAGGAAGGGAGATGTTGTCATGGTAACATCAATACAGGTCTTCTCAGCAATTGAAGCAGCCAGGGAGTGAGAAGCGTCAGACTGCGGAGTCTGACACAGACAGGTGTGTGTGTGGGCGGAGGGGGGGGGGGGGGGGGACACACAGAAGCCATAAGAAGCGA